TGAGAATAAATAGTTTGAGATGAAATTGATAGTGCTAAATAATTGGTGTCAATTATAGATATTTTCTAGAAAATAATCTGATTTAAAAGCAATGAATAGATTATGTCTCTTGAGTCTATCACAGATATGTTTGATGAACTTAACAAGCTTGTTCAATATGCCATCATCAGTCTTTTAAAATCTGGAAAATGTTCTAATATAATGAAGAGTTTCCATCAGAATATCTTCAAATTTAGGCAAGGGTTGGAATGTTTGAAAAGAAGGGCCTATACTAAATCACCTATACTTAAGTTTTATCAGAAATGTTTTAGCGCACTTCTGATTTTTGGACAAGATTTAAATTTCAGATTTAGATTCAGAATCCAGACAGAAGCAAAACGTCAAAAAGCAGTTGTTAACTTACTTACTTCGATGACCTTACAGATCAGTTGTAATTTATGGCATCCCTCAGATGCCGCCAAAAACTAGCTTTATCGCTGGCAATCGCTTACCAACTTCTAATTCCAAATGTAATGCTGTCTCTACCAACAGCCTTTTTCCATGAGTTCTTTGGCCTTCTACGTGCTCTTTTACAATCAATCCACAAAGTCTGACTTATGACCTTACTTAATGGAGCTTCCACATGTCTCCTCATATCATGTCCAGCCCATCGGAGCCTCTTTACAACTTTACAAAATAATTTAGTTCCCAGTTTTTGAGAACCTATATCAACCTAACCTAAGTATTCAAGTGAATGAAAATTTAATAAAAATGCGCCCTATTTAACCACAAATTTAATATCCTTTAACATCACTTCCTGCATTCAAATATTACACATTTCTAAATGAAAGGAGAGATGATATTGAAAAGTGCAATGAAATGTCAGAAAAATAAATTTTAAGTACAAATATAAGCACAAGAAATGATCATTTATCATCGTCACTAAAATAAAAATACAGAATTTATACCAGAAAAAAAAAGTTGATGGTGGAAGTGGAAGAGAGAAATTAATGGGAAAATTGAATCTTTCATTGACATTGATTCCTTCCTTTTGTACATTTCTTATTCCATCCTCACACTTTACTCCAACAACAACAATTGAATGATGTCCATTCGACAATGGATTTATTTATTTTTTCTTCATCTTGTATTGTTGTAAGTCAAAGAAATCTGTTTTCCTCATTCAATACACATATAGTCAAGCACAAAGACAGCAAGATATTGTCCATCATCATTGCTATGATTTCGTTTCCTTTTTTTTCTATCGTATTTTTTCTTGTTTGAAACTTCTTACAAGGGAATTTTTCATGTCATGTCTATGGCAGAGCAAAATTTATCCTCTATCTTACACTACACACAGCATTAATTTTTACTTACTTGTATGTGAAATGAATGGAAAAAAAATATCCTCATCTCATAATCTTATGGTCCCCGATGACATAGAGATACCGCAATTTTTTTTTCACTTTTACTTCATGCTGCAGAGAAGTAGCTTTGTAAATCAGAATTTATGTAAGAAGAAAAAAATTATGTATTTTTTTTTTCATTCTTTAGCTTTTATCTCTGATTTTTAGATGATGACGACAAGGGCATAGCCAGGAATTTGCAGAGGGAGGGGGGGGGGGCAATGTTTTCTTGTATGGAAAACTTTAAGGGGGGGGGGGGTAATTTTTACGAGCATAATGACAATGAAACAATTTTTCTAGCATAATGAACAAATTTCTCAAAAAGAAGGGGGATTTGTCCCTCAAATCCCCCCCCCCCCCCCCCTGGTTACGCGCCTGGATGACGACAAGCATGATGTTTGTTGATGTAGATCTTTAGAGTGTAAAAGCGCATGAGTCTATGAAGTGGTGTGAAAAGTGTGATTTGCTAAGGTCCTTACCTTTTTAAGGGATAGATGGATTTCTGCTTTGAATAAGGATTAAAGTATAGAACGAAATAGTTTTAATGCAAGAATGAGTGCTTAAAAATTCCAATTCCTTAAATTGGTATACTTAGAATCGGTTAAAATCAGATGGATGGCTAGGAACCAGTTTCTAAGGCTGTCCAGGGCACCCTGTATCAAAAAACGATTTTAAAAATACAGTTTGCATGTTTGGGAAGCCTTAAAATCTCTACCTATAAGAAGAATCAACCCCCTACCTATACAGACAGTCAAGTTCAGTTTGAAATTCCATAACAGCACATGACATAATTTTTTAAATTTAATCTCATCGCATAAATTTCTATACAATAAATTAATCTGTAATTTAGGGACAAAATATCAGCTATTATACTACTCTATTGTCTTATAATGCTAAACAAGCAATGAGCTGATTGTGTGCATGTAACTGATATGCTTTTCCTAAAGATCTATGCTCCCCCATTCGAGTATTTTTTTGTATAAAAATAAAATATATGTTATAAAAATAATGACGACACAATGATGAAATGATTAGACTAACGACAGTAATTTTGTAAATGATGTTATACTGCACTCCCTTTTTTGTGCCTTACAATGATGTATACTCAGTGATATGACATTAGGTATATGTAGACTTCCCCTCTCATCATTATTAGAATATTTTTCCTTGTTCTTATACATGAAAGCATTACTTAAGTATGATGAAAAGGAACAGATTCTGCTTATTTTAATAAAAAATCTTATAAAGCATAAGCATGGGGAATTAGGAAGTGCGTTCGTTGGAAGGGGAGCAAAAAAATTCGTTTGAGGTGTGTGGAATTTTATTTCTTGATTAAAATAATATAATTCTGAATAAATCCATGGATTAATCCATTCATGAACAAAAAGTCTTCTTCAAATTAAGTTATAATGATATGAATATACATGAGATACAGATCTTAATGGAACTGAATTACAATTGAATGTTTTGCTTTTAGGAATTTTTTTGGGGTGTATTTTAGTTGATATTTTAGATAGTATTACACTTGGTATTGGTAATTGGCAAGCGGTAGTCTGCAAAAGAGCTATTTTCAGGCGCCATCTAAGGGTGGTGTAGGGTTTAAGTTCCATGCCCCGTTCCTCATTGGAAAAATTTATTAAATTTGTTGTATTTCAAGCAGACTTAAACCTTAATCTTTTCTGAGCATGAAAACTTTTGAAAATCCCTCACTTCATTAAGCTATCATTCAGGCTTCAAGCCAAAATAAATTTTTTAATCAAGATTTAAGCCTCATCAAAATTTTCTCCCAAAATCATCCCAAAGGTTGCATCATCTTCAGAATTTATTCTCATCCTTACCCTCCTTCTTTTCTTTCTTTCTGCAAAATCTGTGCTATTAGATAATTCCAAGAAGTAACTACATTAGAATGTAATCTTCTGATTGAAATAATGATAGCGGAAGCGTAATTTGGTTGTACAGAAAAAAAGAGAATCATTTAGTTTTGAAAATGGATGTTTTTGGAAATTCGATTAATTTGATTCTTATAAATAGAGTCATTTTGAAATGGCAATGAAGATAAAGGTTTGTTGGTTGGTATTTTGGTAGATTGAAAAATTTGATTAAAAGTTGAATTGTTTATTTTTTAGATTTATTGCTCGATGATAGTGAACGTTTATTATTTAGAATTAATAGTTATATGTGAGATGATAGGGCACACGTTTAGAATTTAAGAAGCAGTGGTGAAGTCAGAATTTAGATAGTGGGCAATCAAAAAAAAACTCCAGCAATTTAAATAATTTTGAATTTGGCGAGAAAATTGTGATTTTCTTCTAGCATTGAAAAGCACAAGTTGTTTAATCGAATAGAAATTCAGCACCAAGCAAGTGTAATTCTGGCATGGTGCTGTACTTAATTCGAATCCAGCACCATTTCAGAGTGACACAAGCTTTGTTCCTGATTTCAATTTGGTTAACCGACCAGTACAATTCGGGATCCCTAACGCTAGCTTACTCCTACCGAAAACCTATATACAAAATACGAATAAAATCTATTCTACCCTTTGTCAATACATTTTAAAAAATTTGTAAATAAAATTAAGATCAATTTAAACAAAAAAATTTCTATCCATAAAATTATTCAAACTAGTTTTCACCTTATACGAAGATTTGTTAACATAGTTTTTCAGTCTAATAATAAACTTTTTCATTAGATTATCAAAGTATATATTTATCCGGATGGATAAGCATAGTAAAATTTCATTTCATCTTTCTTATTACTAGTTAAGGATACTAAGACCCAAAATAAATTAATTTGAAATTTATTAAGGCAGGCATTTTAAAGGAAAAAAAAGTTTCCAGTCCCGAATTTTATGCCTGATTAAACAAAATTTGCTCGATTATTGTCTATAAGTTGTGGTTAACTCAAGCTTCATCCCCAATTTAGATACCATAGTGTTATGAATTCCCCTAAAGCGCTTAACCGCAAGAGGCTTAAAAATATCAGAGATACTTTGTATGTTTAGACATCAAAAAAAGTTCCTGTAATTCCTTCATTAAATTTTAAATTTTATGTGTCTATATTTAAACTCCCTCATGGCACATATGTTTGTGTATGAAAATTATTAAAAGCAATAAAGCAATTTTATTTATTTAGTAAAGAGCTTAATTCCACCACCATTCACACTATAGACTGATAACTTTTTCTATATTTTGATTATGTATTAATCACTTTAGGGGAACATAAACAGGGCATTGTCATGGCACACAAAAAAAAACGATATAAGCGAGATGAAGGTGTCAAGGTTAAAATGCTGTTTTTATGTACGATTCGAGAGGCAAATTGTATATAACAACTGACAGTGGAATTGGTGTGAAAAAGAGCAGAGAGGATGAAAAAGAAGAAAATTTCAATATACATAATAATATGTAACGCAAAGGCACTGTCTGGGAATTCAAAAAGTGCATCATGGAAATCGTCAAAATAATTCCAGTCGCGCATGTGTATCGAGTCCTTTTGTAGACTTCTTCCGAAAATCTCTCCGCACACAAAATGTTCATTCATAAAAAATGTTGTGTGATTCTCAGTTGATATAATAAGCATTCCATCAGACTACATGGACCCAGTCGTTGACGAGATTCGGAACGGTGAAGATGCACAAAAAAGTTTAATGAAAAAAAATAATTTTTGTGAAACAAGAAAAAAAATAAAAAAATAAAAATTGTGCAATAACAGAAAAAGGAAGGAAAATTTATATGAAAATTAAGGAACAAAAGACAAAAAGACCGGACATAAAAACTTCAGGAGTGATGCATGAAAAGTGATTGCAAAGTGGAAAATTAAATTATTATCATACATCAAAAAAATATGTTCTCAAAAAGACAAAAGAATGATGATGGTGATGATGATGATGCCACTCGAAACTACAACTCAATTTATTGATCTTATATAAGAAAAAGAAGATGAGAAAGTCTTTTAAGTGAAATCAAGACGAGAACTGCTGTGGGAATTTTTTTTAATACACGAATGAAAATTTATATTTATGACAATGCCGTGTAGAAAAAATAAATAAATAAATAGTGCAGAAAATATAGTGTTGCTAGAAAAATATTGCATAAATTTCCATTATTTTGTTTTGTTTTCCTTGCGGATAAGCACGAAAGAAAGAAATTTTTTAAGCAGAAAAAAAATTGTGTTGAATTTTTACAATCCACTAAATTTGTACACCCAGAAAACAAAGGAGAAGTAAGATATACGGGGTGAAAAAAAAAAGAAAACATATAAAAGTGTATAAAAGAATATCTCAGTGTATATATATCTTGTGCCGTGTGTTTTTTGAGTGCAGATAAAAGATAAATTTCACATAATTTATGTGCATAATGTGAATAAAAAAAAATAAATAAAGAGAGCACCAAAAACCGGGAGGAGCATAGCAAAGCACAGCACACAAAAAAATAGTGAAACAATAAAAATTGCATGAACGAAGAAAAATTTGTCATTGCCATGATTTATAGCGGATTAATACTGTCACAATCATCAATTTATCTAAAATTGAATTAAGATATAGACACGACGACGTCGCTTTGAAGGAAATCTCTGTTGAAGGTAAATGCTTTTCTCATGCCCCATGCTATAAAAAAATACACTCATTTTTAGGGTATATCATTCGCAAGTTTGATCTGAGAAATTGAAATTGGTGCAGAGTTGTTATTTTGTAATTAATTTGTTTTACTCATTAAGTTTGATTCTTATAGCCGATGGATTCATCCTACGGATCTGAATAAAATGATTCTTGTACCCTTCGTTAAAACATACATTTGTAAGGAGTAAAAGAGTTTAAAAAATATTTTAAAAAATAATTTCAAAAATTTCAAGAACTTCAATTTTAAACAATTCGTTCATTCTTCTAAAAATGAAAAAGATACGTCATTGTTTAAGATTTATTGATCATATAAAAGATTTTCTTATTTTCTATGAAATCAATCAAAATTCTCAAGAACACAGGAAACTCTACAGGAATCGATTTTCATGCCTTCCTGCAGTCACAAGACATCTCCATTGATAATGTCAAAAGAAAAAGCTTACAACTCATTCATAACATCTTCTTAACAACTCTGAATAGGAAAAGGAACGAACTGAAAACTTTTCATTTTTTTTTCGACATCATCAATTCAATTTCAAAACAAATACGAGATGAAAAGATATAGATCTACGGCAAACATTGAATCAGAGATTTTTTCCGTCTGTAGAGCAAAACTCATCGTTAGCAAGCGATATCACGAGATTGAAAAAATTCAGTTTCTAAGTTATAGATAGAAAAGAATTTTTATGCTTTTACAACGAGCTTTCGAATGAATAAATCGTAAAGATTTTGCTTTATTCTATTTCTCCTCCTATCCTATTTTTACGGTCACTTAACAATTTTAGAGCCTTCTTTTTACACATCCTACACAATTTTTTATTTATATTAAATAAAGAATAAGAAAATATTAACATTTTTTTATGGTTTGCAGAGGCATAGCCAACAGTTTTTTGAGAGGTTCTATAACGATCTTGTAGATTTAAGACATTTTTCTATTGAGGGAGGTAGAACCTCCCCCTGACTACACTACAATTTGTATCAAATCAGGATTGGACCACTTCAGAATAGAATAAATTTAGAAAAAGATGAAAAAATTTCTCACAAAAGTTTGATAATTTTGTTTTTCTTGGAAGGATGTTGTTTTTCTTTTGATTTCTCACTCAGACGAACTGAAGTAGAAAAAGTTATTTTAAAATATTTATAAAATGTTCATACCCACCAATTGATACGAAAAATTGAAGAAAATCAAAAAGTTCTCTCATGAATAATTTAAATAAATTTTCTATTTAAAAGCTTTTAAAATAGTAAAGGAATTATGGAAGTTAATTTCTTTAAAATTCAAAATTGTTGACGAGGTTGTTTATTCAAAGATTAATTGGAATCAAAGTGAAAATAATTTCCACGTAAGACTGTTTACTTTGAAAACTGTCTGATGAAATTTTAAGGAAATAATTTTAAGTTGTTGTGGATTTTACAACTATTTGTTTATTTTCTTGACTGGTAATTAATAAGAAAATTGCTACGAATAGGCGTTATTGATTGATAGTATTAAACAACAACAATAAGACTACAGAATTTTATGAATTGATGGACTAATGATGCAATCTGATTTAAATCCTTACAGATTATTTAAGACAAAGTGAAGTTAAAATTTGAATCTTAATCTTTGATATATTCAAGGGCATTGAAAATTAAGTTTTTGGGTTCAAAACCTCATCGCTATCGGTCTGTTTCACTAAAGTGGATTATCCTCGATTTCGGATTATCCACTTCAGTTTTTTGGAAATATCTCCAGGCGCTTAAGGTTATTAAGAGATCTAATGTGTGATCTAATAAGAGTACTTTGCTACTTAAATTAACATACACTTAGAATTTTTATATCTTCATTAGTTTGAGAATTATAGCAAAAATCGAAGTTTATCTACTAGATTTGGCTAGAAAATTGAATAATTAATACTTCTTAACGAAAAGCAAAAGTTTAAAGTGTACAGAAATTTCAGGCATAGTTCACTCTATTATAATCCAAAATTAGAAATACCACACCTCCCATAAAGTTTAAGATATTTGCAAAAAACTGAAGTGGATAATCCGAAATCGAAGATAATCGACTTGAGTGAAACAGGCCGTATGAGATTGTTTTGAATTTGCTTCAGCGTCCACTAAGACTTAACCTATAATATGTATTTATTGAGTCTTTAAATATGCTTTAGTTAAGTAAACTATTTCTTACACCTCTAAACCTGGCCTAATGTAAAAGATACTCTACATTGTAGAAATCCTTAAAAAATCAATCTCAATTGTTCTTAAAAATCATTTTAAAGTGGCCTTATGAACTAAGAACTTTTCTCAACTTCCCATTAACCAGGCGCGTAGCCAAGGGGGGATTTGGTGGCAGACTGAAAAAAGGACCCCCCCCCCCTCCTTAAATTTTTCCATGCAAAAAAAAAATTCTGTTCCTCATCTTCAAATTCCTGGTTACGCCCCTGCCATCAATCTTATTCAACCATCTGATTATTTATCATCAGAATAATCTTCTGTCAAGCATGAGTGTATGAAAACATCTATAGATATGGAAATCGAATCATAAATTATTGAATTAAATAAGCATCAAGTCTTACTTCATTGAGCAAATATTCATGCATTCATTCGAGCACACTAAGGAACTAATATAAAATATCTACATAGTTTTCAATGTAGTTAAATAAATAAAAATGAGATTCGAGATTCAATTCCCAACTTACAGAACTGAAAGTCTTATTCATGGCAAGGAACAGCTTGAATTGAAAATCCTTGCCTAATAAAAAAAAACTTGAAGTTGAATGGAGAGAAAAAATGAAAAGTTATGGAAATTTTATGACACACAAAAAAGCGCAATAAATGAAAGCTTATCCAGTGCATAGCATAGGCTATAGTCATGTATGTATCTATTCTCATATAAGGAAGGAAACTATTCATACATATAAAATATTCAAAATACGAGTGTTATGAATAAATTTTCATACCCTTCATTGTGTAACTTTTTCCTTTTCAGACCCACCCAAAAAAAAATCAACCGGCAAGAATAGTTGTTGCTTTTGTCTTCCTCATCATACCACAAGCATTATCCTTTTTTGTCATTTTAACAACACCACTCATTCTCTATCAAAATAAGTGAGTGAATGAATGAATGAGTGAGTGCCTTGTGTGTCCAATGGAGAATGAATGAATAATAAATCCCAACTCATACATATATGTATATACCGTCTCTATATATACATACATTACATAGCGAAAACTATAAACAATCCATAAAAGGATTAATGGGCATGAACGATATAGCAGAAGCTGTATCAGTCGTCAGAGTCAAAAAGTTCATGATGATACATCTTCTCATTCCACAAAGTTTATCCTCATATTATCGAATGTGAATGTTGTTGCATGTTGTATAGAAAAGCTATACACTCAATATATGTTAATTCTTTGGAGTTATAAAATGAACCCATGCTAAATACGATTACATGTCCAGTCAGCCAACTATCGAATAGTTACTGTAGATGAAAAAATCATTCATTCATAAACATGGAAAGGCACATTGATGTATTTTCTAGTTTTACGCAATGTCACATATCTTTCTTCCATCACATTTGCTGCTTCTCGCCTTTTTTATTGAACCAACTTTTAGCTTTGAAATGCAGTGAAGTTGTTAATTTGGAATTTTGACTTGAATTTGTGAAAGGAACTTATGACTTTGTGGAATTTATTAAAAGTTTGAATCTGAATTATTGAATGCTTAAATGAGTTAATAATCTGTAGATTTTATATCAGAACTGGAACATCATGGATGTGGCTGATTTTGAATCTGGATTTCCTGCTCTAAACTCAATACTCAATGTGATATCCTCTGGATTATGAATTAAAATTGACTTTGACTAAGGGGCCGTTCAATTATTACGTTACGCTTTTTTCACCACCCCTCCCTCCCCCCCCCCCCCCCCTGAAATTTCATAATTTATTTTATTTTGATAATTTTTTATAGGTAGTTTTTAGGAACATTTAAATTTTCATTAAAAATGTGGAAAATTTAAAAAAAATGTTTTTAACTTCTTGACACCCCCCCCCCCCCCCTATGTTACATTTTGTTACAATTTTTCAAACCCCCCCCCCCCCCCCCCCCCCCCCCTCCCTCTCAAAATGCGAACATAATGAGTGAACGGCCCCTTAGAGTCGTAATCCATACAAAATTTCATCGACTTCGAGCTGTGTATGATTCAAACAATAGGTTGATGAAACTTCTCTGGCTATGCTTATGATATGAGTAAGCTACAACAGATATCTCTAAAATCCAGTTCTAATGATTTATTAATGTCAATTCCACGTAATACAAACACAATTCAATTAAACTTCATGAATTGTCAGCTAACCTTATTAAATTCAATAAAAATGACTTCAGCAGATCGAGAATTATTGCGCAAAAAAGCTCATTAAAACTATGTAAATAAAAGCGCTTTGAACCTTCATCACTCAACACACAAGAATCATTCACACTAGCGATTTTATGCCGATCGTTAGATTGAATTAGAAGAATGTGAAATTAGTTGTGAAAAAAAAGGACAATAGAGAGGATGCTGAAGTATTTCTATTCTCTATCTTAAGTTTTTTTTTTCTCTTCCGTGATAAAATAAGTATAAGACATAGAAAAGGGACAATCTTGTCCCAAATGCAAAGTATACTTATTGAAACTATCTCTTGTTAGCATCTCTATCCGATGGGAAAAATTTTATGCTCCAATGAGCTGTATATTGCTCTCGCTTCTTCCTCAATTCAATGATCTATAATATAAGATGTATGTATGTATGGGAATGTATGTGTATAATAAAATAGTTTCTTTCATTCGTTCTCTGCATGACTCGATTTTTTTCTTCCTTTCCTTTTTTTTGTATGTTTGCTATCCAAAGATATAAATATTTTTTTCATGAGTCGATAGTTTCACACGAATATTAACTTTTTATTCCACTTCACTCTCAAGCATGAGTTGCCACACATA